GTCTAGCCGCCAAAATGTAAGAAAACATATACAAAATCATACATTTTTCACAATTTTCTAACACTTCGCTACACCATCGAAAGCAAAATTCTGTTCGACAGAAAATTCGATACTCAACGAAAATTTCGACACGCTTGCATAGCTCATAATACGAATTCCACTTTCGATCTTCGATAGCCAGCGAAGATCGAAAATCGAATGCAGCTCATAATAAGGGCCATAGTCACATTTTTAAACAGATTTTTTAGAGTACATGTTGTTACTCAAGTGGAGGGAATTACAGTTTTACGACTTTCCCGAACGGCAGATGGTTTTGTACGAGAACTTTTTCATGACAGGCTGTTTACCACTGTCTATCTATCTATAGAAATTTCCAATTGGGGCAAGACGATGCTGAAGCTTCTGGCGAGCATGTCGGTTTAGGGCCTGTTAGAATTCCACTGCTGGAAGCCTTATCAACAAGTATTATACTCATTTGGAGAGCGGTTTCATTTGAAAACGTTGGCACAAGAAGAATTATCAAAAAGTCAGTCCTACAACGGGACTTTTACTGAAAAAAAAAAACAAAATGTGAGCTCTAATCACTGTTCGACATTTTTAGTTAAAAACCGTTGCCGAATTTTCAATTGCCTCTTCTAGACAGTTTCGATTTAGGATGACCAATTCTACATCCAAAGCCCGCTGTGCTCTAGGGTGCGAGTCATATTTTCTTGCAGATATAGAAAGCGGTCGCGATTTAACGCGACGTCTATAATATTTTCTTTGCGAAGTCAATCCCTCTATGTTCTTATTCTTATATCACTTTTTGCACTTATCATTTCTATACGTCATAACTTTTAAATGCTCACCTTTAGACTGGATACTTTGAAAAGCAAAGGAATTAAGTACCAGTTTGAGGAACAGGATGCTTGTTCTTTATTTTTAACTTACTACATCTTCTCTTCTGACTTTTTTCCAGATATTTATTTCCTCATTGATTTATTGAAGTGGATTTGTGCGAATGGTTCAAAAACTTTATTAGCTACTACTAAATAATAGTAGTCTTTGATTCTGAGCGATAGCGTGCTGGTGTGCTCTCAGTGTTTCCACTTTTAATGCATATCGAGCGCTGACCTCCAAAAAGACATAAGCAAAATTTGTTTCCAAAATTTTATTTTCGATACAAAAATTCATCTTAATGCTCTAGGAACATTTCTGCATAAAAAGGAAAATTAAAAAAAAAAATGTTGCTTACGTCTTTTTGGTGGTTGGGGCTCGATATGTAGGAGATCAACGACAAATTTTTAAAAATCTTAACTATAACTTCGTATTTATACGTATTTACAATATTAAATATTTCCTCTTTCTCTCTCTCTCTCTTTCTCTCCCTTTTAGTTGCTTTGATAAACTGAAAATGAAGGTCAGCACTTTGGATAAAATATGCAGCTTTCTAGCCGAGCTCATTGGCACTGCACTGCTGGTCTTCCTTGGCTGCATGGGTTGCGTGAAGAATGATTCCTACGAAAATAATCACTTTCAAATGACATTTAATTTTGGTTTGGTTGTCATGATTATTATTCAATGTTTCGGTTGCGTCTCTGGTGCCCATCTAAATCCAGCTGTGACACTTGCAGCTTACATTTATAACATGACATCGCTGGCAATGGCTGGCGTATATTTCGTGGCGCAAATGTTGGGTGGTTTTATTGGCTACGGATTGTTGAAGGCGCTCATTCCAATCAATGCTGTAACGCTGAATGGTCCTCATAACCTCTGTGTTACCACTGTGCACGCGGAAATATCCGCATGGCAAGGATGTGCAATTGAATTCATCATCACCGGTGTATTGATATTCACTTGCTGTGGCGTATGGGATCCACGCAATTCCAAATTCCATGACTCTGTGCCGATTCGTTTTGGTTTAGCCATCTCGTGTCTGGCCATCACAGCGGTAAGCATGCGTTTTTGTATGTAAAAATGTACAAGCAATAATTTTATGAATATTTTAGGGTCAATTCACCGGTGCTAGTATGAATCCAGCTCGATCCTTTGCGCCATCTTTGTGGAATTCTGACTTCCAGGACCAATGGATCTATTGGGTTGGCCCATTAGCAAGCGCTGCGGTGTGTTCCATAGTGTATAAGACGATTTTCAGACGCGAAGTTGTTGAGGAGAAAGTGAACAATAAGCTGCGTGCAATGGAAGAAGTGCCACTCTCATAAGCCAACCATGTGAATTGAAATACCAAAGAACGATTAAAACAAGCAAATCGACATTCTCAAAGATGTTGCCGGAAAATACGAACTTCTTGAGCGTTTGATATTCTATTTATTTTTTATTATGTTTTATACTTAAGAAGAGCATTTATGAAGTCTACCAAGCAGACTCTATTTTTTTATAATCATTTATGCTAATGATTTTTGCCAATTATGCTGAAAATATTTTGCAATAACGCAACCAAAAAAATGTTCAAAATTGTTAGATAAAATGTAATTATGCCAATTTATAGAGAAAATGTTGTACATACATACATACATATATACGTAAACGCCAACAATAATTAAGGTATAAAATTTGTACGATTAAATATTAGGGTAAATTCATCGAAGCGCTTAAAAGCCTCATATCCACGTAAACCTCCAAAAATTGTTTAATTTTGTAAGGAAAACCGGTTTATTTACGAGGTTTACACAGTTACGAGGCATGTATGCGTTTGTATGAATACCCTGATTGTTTTTACATAATAAGAATTGTTTAAAGAAAAAAAAAATGTTGTTTTTCAAGTATATTTTTTGGGTGGATAATTGGTATGTATGTGCAAGTAGATAACTGGCTCAGAGCGACGAGTATTAACACACAAAAATAAACCCACTCCGGGTTGACTCCACTGCATATTTTTGTTCAAGCAGCAGCAGCTTCGAGGAATTTTCAATTGCAAATTCCGCCACTGAGCGTGATACCTGGTCAAACGGTTCACCTCAATTATATACCAGATATGTGGTACACAGACGGATCAAGGATGGAGGGTAAAGCAAGCGAGGCAGACTTTCCATTGCAATGGGAAATTTGTCCACTGTCTTTCAGGACGAGTTACTAAACACTGTGCTAAATTAAAACTTCAAAAGGGTTTGAAGGACGCCTTCCTAGCTATCTTTGTCAGACAGCCAAGCGGCCATCAGGGCCCTATCTAATAGGTCGATCGCCTCGAGGCTCATCAGATAGTGCTTAAACACTCTCCAACCCTTGGCAGCAAGCAACATGGCAATACTGTGCTGGGTACCAAGGCACTGCGGCAGTAAAGGTAGCGAGCTCGCCGAGGAACTGGCTAAGGAAGGCTCATCGTCTCTGCCGTTTTTTGGACTCTGTTGCTTCTTATTGAGACCCATAACCAGAACACAGTAACTGCTGGAGACACGGAGGCGCTTAGACAGGCTAGATTCTTTTTATATCCTTTTGCTAGCCTGGTGATCGCTGTCGCTGAGTGGTTAAAGGTGCGTGCTACCACTTGTAGGACCTGGGTTTGATGCCTGGTTCGGGCAACATCTTAATTGGAAAAAGTTTTTCTAACAGCGTTCGCCCCATTTGATGTTCGGTGGTGGCATAAAATCCAGTTCCATACCATACTAAAGTAAGCAGTAAGGATTGCTAAAGTAAGTACTAAATATTAGACATGGATTCGACAAGGATTAGAGACATAAACCACTTAATAGTAGTAACAGTTTTTATTTTTAAAAAATTTTATTTAATTTTTATGTTTCAGCTTGCTATGCAAAATGTTTAAAAAGCTTAGAAAGCTCTTCACGAGGGCAAAGCGGTGCACATCACCAATTCGGAGCATTAATATATTACAGCGATGGGCAGAGAGAGCTTTTACTCTGCAGGCATCGTACAAAGTATATAGAAAGCTTAAAAGAGCTTGGCCCGTAGGCAAGGCAGTGTCCAATAGTGATGTATATTCAAAAAATATCCCGCAGGAGATTAATTTTAAAGCTTTATTTTAATTTCATATCAGCGATGGGTAGAGAGAGCTTTTGCTTCGCACTCGCCTACAAAATCTATAGAAATTTTAAAAGAGACGCGTACAGAGTAAAAGCACTCTCTGATCATCACTGATTTATAACTGTTATAGGCAGAGGCAGCTTTTACACCGTGCAAATACATACAAATATACATATGTATATACAAACATACATGCATCTGTAACTACATAGAAAGCAGAGCTGAAGAATGGAAATTTCAGACTGAACCTAAGATCAAAAAATAAATTGGGTATATTCATCGTGGAAAAAAGCTCGACTCTTAAGTTGGTTGCAGCTTTTTTGACAGATATTTCATTGAAGCGATTTTGGCCGAGTCCAAAACAGCACGCCGTTCATTTCTCTTCTGTGTCAACTGACCCCAATTGGAAATACCAAGTGAAGCCAAGTCCTTCTGCACCTGGACTTTCCAACGCAAAGAAGGCCTTCCTCTGTTACCAGCACCGCGGCCCGCGTTGAATATTTTCAGAGCAAGAGCGTTTCTGTCCATCCGAACGACATGACCCAGCCAGCGGAGCCGCTGGATTTTAATTCGCTGTACTATGTCTACATCGTTATAAAGCTCATACAGCTGATCGTTAAATCGTCTCCGGAATTCACCATAGCCAACGCGTAAAGGCCCGTAAATCTTTCGCAGAATCTTTCTCTCGAAAACACCAAGAGCCAGTTCATCAGATGTTTTCATTGTCCATGCCACACACCAGGGCAGGCATGATGAGTGACTTATATAGTGTGATTTTTGTACGACGGGAGAGGACTTTACTTCTCAATTTCCTACTCAATCCAAAGTAGCACTTTTTGGTAAGAGTTCAAAGCTGACATTTCCAAGCTGGCATAATTATCTACTTTTTAAGCTTGTAACTGTCAGCAGAGACGTGGGTGCTAAGACGTGTATGCCCTGACTGTTTATGTGATGACAGGAGATACTTCGTTTTGTCCTCGTTCACCAGCAAACTCATTCGCTTTGCTTCGCTGCCATCTAATCCCGAGATGGCGGAACAGACTTAGTCCTTGTTTTTACTGATAATTGTACGCTCTTGTTAAGTATTGTGCCTTAGCGGTTCAGTTCGGCGGCTCTTATTATCTTCTCCAACATCAGATCAACGAAATCACACGAAAGAGAGTCACCTTGTCGGAAACCTGGGTTGGTATCAAACGGCTCGGATAGGTAGGTAGGTAGGTTGTCGCGGTTGCCTGGAAAAACACACTTAGGCTCCGGGCCCATTGTGATACCGCATACGGGGTCAGTAGCTCCCAATCCACCCTAAAACCGTTCTGAGCTTCGCAGGAATTTTTGAAGATCCTTGATTTCGGGGCCTCTAAGGTCCTCCAGAACCCAGTCTACCCAGTGTGGAAAGTCTTCGTCTGGATAGAGCAGAGCACTGGCACAAAAGGTGCAGAATCGTTTCGTCCTCTTCTTCATCTTGACAACTTCTACAGAAGTCATGCAGTCGTACGCCTAGTCGATAGGCATCCTGCCAATTAGGCAGTGTCCTGTTATAACAGATACTAACAAACTGATATTCTGCTTATTTAAGCTCAGTAGTAGGCCAGTGCGTTTAGCGCTGAGCGTTGGCCATAGTTTCCTGGCAGTTTCGCAGGTGAATTCGTCGTGCCATCTGCTGTTCGCTACTTTAGTGAGCCTTTCGGAGATAAGTAGCTTGCAAGTTTGTAAGCGTATTCCTATTTCATCGTTTATATCCTCAATAGGGAGTCCGGCCAAGTCGCGCCAGTTGATCGGCCTTGCAGTTCCCTTCAATGTCGCAGTGTCCCGGAACCCATATCACCTTTGGGTGAAATGACTCAGCCATCTCGTTAAGAAATGTGCGGCATTTCATGTCTACTATGAGGGTTGTCGACTGCTTCGTAAGGGATTTAATTGCCGCCTGGCTGTCAGTGAAGATGTAGACATCAGCCTGGGACATCATGTCACACTTTACCAGTTTTGTGGCTCGGTCGATTGCCATCAGTTCCGCCTGAAAGGTGTTACAGTGGTCTGGAAGACGAATGATAAGGGAGATTCCCAGGTGTTCGGAGTATACACCCCCACCAACCCTTCCCTCGAGCTTTGAGCCATCTGTGTATACATGGATGGACTCGCCACGCCTTAGAGCATCTCGTTTACTCTCTTCCCTCGAGGGTAGGAGGGTCGTAAACGCTGTAGTGGGATCAGAGCTCGGAAAGGCGTAGTCCAACGATCCGGGAAGCTCTGAAAACTCCGTTAATATTCTACCATGACCATATCCGGTGTTTGATCACTTATTTAGGCTATTCATACGAATTTCTGCAACGCTTGCGACTTGTTTGGCATGTAGATCTACCGGAAGAAAGTTCAGTAGGGCATACAGTGCCTTGGATGGTATTGTTCTCATTGCACCAGTTATGAGTTTGGACGCGAGCCTTTGGACCTCATCCATCTTTTTAAAGTTTACCCCTTTCTCAAGGGTGTCACACCATACCACTATGCCGTGATAGGGAATTGGCCTAACTACCGCTGTGTATAGCCAGTGTATTATTTTGGGTTTGGGTGCTGCAAGAATATAGTGCTTTGCGCACTCTATATGCAATATTCGGCCCCCAGTTTAGTTTCCTATCAAGTATGAGACCTAGATATTTGGTTTCTTCCTTTACTTCAAGGGTTTTGCCCTCTAGAGTTATAGCGTCGAGGTCGGGTATCTTGTGCTTCCTAGTAAAAAGCACTAAGTCCGTCTTTTCAGTATTGATTCCAAATCCTCGCCTGTTGCACCATAGTCATAGTTCATTAAGAGATCTTTGAATTAGATCGGCTAATGTTGAGAGGTGTTTACCCGAGATAGGAGATAGCTATTACAGTATCGTCGGCGTATGCAATAGTCTTGCCACCAATGTTTTCCAGTGCACGACTGTGGTTTAAATCTAGGGGGTCTGCAAAGGTATTTGTGTACCGTAATATTATTTAAAGCGTCTTCTTTACCCACAAAAAAAGTCAGCTAAATATATTTCACTCAACACATAATTTAGTTATAGTTACATTCAAGGTGTATTAAACAAGGTGTGATTGACAACTCAGGTCGGCTCCCTTTCAAGTTACTGTTATGCCAAAAAATATAAATAAATATCGCTTCCCTATTTCTTGAGGTGAAAAGGAGGTAAAGCATAAACGTCTAAGAAAAACAATATGTCTATTCAAGTGAAGGGCGAAGTATGCAGTTAAATGTTGTATAAGTGCATAGCAACAGTTTATAAAATAGTTTTAAAAAACAAAATTTCTAATGTTTAGCTTAGCAAGAAATTGTCTAGTAATTTGAGTGGTACTTGTATTAAATAAACTAAGATTTCTAAGTGAATAACACTTGGTAGACAGTAGGTAGGCCTCCTGTAATCACTCCATCTACATATATGTAAGTACCTAAGCTGTATACTTGCATTTTAACAGTTGTGTTCAAAATAATAATAAAAGCAGATGTACATATGTATGTATGCGTGTGCATACATAGGTATGTATACA